CCAGTCCAAGATGCATGGGGACCGAAAGTTGCGTTGCAACTTATGCGGCCACCTGTTTCATTGGGGGTCGTCGAAGGCCGTGCGCCATTTCACGCAGTCGAAGTACTACAAGGCTGGGGGGATGAGAGTTCTCGCGGAAGTCTGGAACGGCACGGACTACACATTCGTGCCGTCCACTGCTCAGCGGGTGCAGAGGTGGATGGCGGACGAGGGGATACGGGACACGAGAGCGCCCGCGGGTGGCCAGCGACAGCGGACGGACGACGGAGAGAGGGATGACATTCAGGACGCCCTCGATGAGGAGGAGGGCCGCGAGGGTGGGGCCAGGGAGGGGGGGGGGAGACGAGGCAGATGAGGCAGTCAGAGAGCCTGACCTGCCAGGGGAGGAGGTGGTGATGACGTCGAGAGGCGTCAGTCGAGCGGGTCCCGCTCCTAGGGCACCGCGACCTGAGTTGGAGCGCGCGAGGAGGAAGAAGAGGACAGTGGGGGAGGCTATCGTCGAGGTGCGCGACACGGGCAGGGAGAAAAGGGGTCGGCAGACGACGATTGAAGAGATGTACGCCAAGGAGAAGTTGGCCGACTTCGCAGACGCGTGGATGCAGTGGATCTACGTGAAGGGGTTGCCATTCAACGCCTTCCGTGGTCCGGAGTTCCAGAGGGTGCGGCAGACGGCAGAGAGAGTGCCTCGCAGTGTCCGGTTCCGGTTTCCCTCGTTCAGGGTTACAGCGGGCGCCGGTATTCCTTCGCAGAGGGCGAAGGTGGCGACGATGGTGAGCAAGGTGCGTGTCGCTTTCCGGCACAGCGGTGCCACCATCCTCTCCGACGGGAGGAAGTCGCATAGCGACAAGCCGCTCGTGAACTTCCTCACAGGCGTCGCCAAAGGCGCCCTGCTCTACGCCACCGTCGCACGTGACGGGTCGGTCCGAGACACAACGGACATCGTGTACCGTAGGTGGCGGGCCATAATCTTGTCCTTTCCTGCAAAGGACGTGATCGGCTTCTGCACAGACTCCGCCAGTAACTATCCGGTGGCGGTGCGCAGATTCGCCACTAACCCCGACCACGACATTAGGAGGATCACTTGGCTCCTCTGCTCCACCCATGTCTGCAACTTGATGTTGTCAGATACCGGGACGCGGGTGGGGTGGGTCAAGGACACCATCATCAGCGCTCGGGCGCTTGTGCGATTTATTAAATCGCACGGCGCTGCTCACGCCCTGTTTAGGAAGGTGAGCCCTCGCGTTCAGCTCGTCGAGCCCGTTGCGACACGGTTCCCATCGGTTTTCCTGATGTTGACGTGTCTCAAAGGCCGACGAGACGCGTTGGAGAGGCACGCATCCCATGGGAGCGCAGTCATGTATCGCAGGCGCAGTGGGTGCAGCAGCAGATCCGGGACGCGAAGTTTTGGCGTTGTGTCCAGTACGCCCTCCTTATCATGGCACCCGTCCACCAGCTGTTGCGCAAGATGGATAGGGGGGGGATGATGATGTCCGTCGTTTACGAGTGGAGTCAGCATGTGCTGCAGTTGATGAGGAGGGTCGACGTGCCGGAGGACATGATCGAGCCGTGCGTGCGTGAGGTTGCCATTCGCAACCTCCACATGCTGGAGCCCGCACATGCCGCGGCCCACCTCCTCAACCCTCGTCGACGGTCCCTCACGTATTACGAGTCGTTACAGACGACGGCCGACGATGCCCGTGTGGTCGAGGAGTGCGACAGATTTCTCCTGGCGCAGACCGGCGGCGATTCGGTCGACAGACTGTACAGGACCGTGAGGGACTAGATGAGGGCCTTCCACTCGAGGCGAGGGGATTGGGGAAATCGGTCCCTCTCCGATGCCGAGGCGGACGATTGCAGTGGGGACCGCGATACCGAGCGATAAGCAGCGTGGTGGTTTGACCATGGACGGCCCACCCGGAGTTGCGCACCATCGCCATCCGTGTCATGCACTTGTGGACGTCTGCCTCTCCAACGGTACTAGGCGCAGCACGAGCGCATCAACACGGCGAGGCGCGCCAAGCTTGGGTTTGCCAAGCTTGCACAACTGGTTGAGATTGCCACCAATCTCAAACTGGCCTCGTGCGCACGACAGGGTGGTGGCTACGTGTTGCCATGGGTTATGGGAACAGGTCGGGGGGGGACGGCGGCAGAGGACGAGGATGAGGAGGGAGACGTGAAGCCCGAGGTGTGGGGAGCGCGACCTGTTGGTAGTGTTCCAAAGGTGGAGATCCAGCGGCAGATTGTCGCTTTCCATGACAGCCGACCGTCCAGAGCCCATTCAGTTCGGGACGTGTTCGGCAAGAGGACGACGGAGCTGCGACCGTGGCCAGAGGGTGGGGATGATGCGGACGCTATTGCGGCAAACGACGACATCGACGACGAGTGGACAGACGATGATGACACGCCGCTGAGTGGCGACCCGACGGCTGAGCGGGTGTACTTCACTTACGGTGGGGGACGAGACGGCGTGGAGTCATTCACATTCATTATCACTGGTGATGTGCCGTCGACCGTACAGACGAGTGGCAGCAGCAGAGCCACTGGTGGTCGTGGAGGACGTTCGCGTGCGGAGGTTGGCGTCGACGACTCTGGGGAGCAGCAGCCACGGGGAGGTCTTCGGCAGACAGGCAGACGTTGGGAGGTTAGGAGCGACAGCGAGGCCGAGGAGGATGTGCCCCTTCACGATCGTCGCTTCTCTCCCTCCCATCATCGGAGCGCTGCACAGCCTGAGGCACTTAGGCGTTCGGAGAGGTTGGTGTCGGCAGCAGGCAGAGACCGGACACACGACGACGAGGATCGTGGGGGGGAGAGGACTCCTTCCGACGCTGGTATCCGCCCCCGCTCGCCGTCGGTGCTCCGCACACACGACTTTGACGTCGGCTTGGTGGGAGTTTGGGAGATTTCAGTGTCGAGGGACGTCGGCGTGCCTCACCGTCGGAGGTGCGCACCGACGCGAACGTTGTGCGGGGCCCTGTTGAGACTGAGGAGGAGAGGGATGCCCGTTTGGACAGAGAGGAGGAGGAGCGACTGGGGAGTTTGCCACGATGGGAGGGTCGGTTCGCGTATCTTGACGAGCAACGTCGGCGGAGGGAGTTGGACACAGGAGGGGGGGGAGGCCGTGACGTCGACGACTCGGGTGTTGCTCTAACAAGAATGACAACGTTGAAGCCTCAGTTTATCTAACCGACCAGTTACATGACAAGAATGCGCCGGTTCCGTTCAAGCAGGTGTTGCTCTCCACCAATAGAATGGAGCGACCAGGTGTAGGCCTACTAGCCTAAGGGGATGTTTGCTCGTGGGCCTCTCCTAATAGACCAAAACTGGTTTATTATTATTATTATTATTATTATTATTATTATTACTATTATTATTATTATTATTATTATTATCATTGAAGAAAGGGGCAAGTTCGTTTATGTCACCTTCGAGTCTCGAATGTGCGAAAGAAAATTGGCCTCTGCAAGTTTGTCAAGGGCTGAGTTCAAAAAGGCGTTTGAAACTCAAGCCTACAGTAATGACAGGGCGCCGACGGCGGTGATTTCATTTAGGCACTTGAGTCGTGAGCGGTACCCGTTCGTTTCCAGGTACCGGGCTGTTCCACATGTTTGGGACGCAGCCTTCTTGAACAATTAGGGGCATTGGTATTTCCAACGAGGCCGGCGCCCGTTTTTGCTCCCACCCTTCCATCTCCGCTCCCGGTGCTTCCTCTTTTGTTACATTTTCTGGGGTGGCAGACATGGGCAAAGGTGAGTTTACGAGACATGTTTCTGTTTTGAATGTTTTTTGTTGTGGTTGTTATTTTCGTGTGTGTGTGGAGAGAGAGAGAGAGAGAGAGAGAGAGAGAGTTATTTGATTTGATTTTTCTGGGCAGGTTGCACTTCTGTTGTTCCCAAGGTCCCGAGTGTTCTGAGAAACATACACGCCCGTCACTTTCCATCTCAGTCTGCATCACCTTTCCTTCACTTCTGGAGGAAAGGTAATGGAGATGGAGATGGGAAATGCTGGAGATGGTGGGGAGATGTAGGTGGGAAGGTGGGCGTAAGGGAGGAGGGCAGACGATGGAGATGGACATGGGAAGGTGGGAGTAGAGGAGGAGGGTAAGGCGATGGAGATGGAGAGGGAGGAAGAGGAGGCAAATGGAGTGCAGTGCTCCTCACGTCTTTCTCCACCTCCGTCCCTACACCTCAGTCCCTACACCTCCCCCCCCCCACCCCCCACCCCATCTCTACACCTTCCCGTCCTTTTCCGTCAACGTCTCCATCACCGTCTCCATCACCTTTCACCTGCCGAGGAAACGTGATCGAGAAGGAGACTATTTCAGCTCCTTCCCGGATTACCCTCCTCTCGTTCCCTCACACAACGCCTATGCCAAATTGACTTATAGAGAAGGAGACGATTTCAGCTCCTTGTGGCCTATGTCATTAAGAAGGAGACTATTTCAGCTCCTTGCGGCCTATGTCATGAAGATCTTGTTCGAAGTTTGTTAATTGCAGGTATGGACCCAGGAGGGTCCTAATTTCCCAGCAAGATAACCCTCCAATGCCAAGCCCAACCCAAATCAGTCAGGCCTCTCCAAGTACAATCCCATCTCCTCCATATTAACACAACACCTGCACATGGCCTGATCTCATCTGCATTCAGGAGACTCACCTCCTTGACAACCCAGCTCACCAACGAGCTCTTCGAGTCGGTGAGGCTGGGATTCTTTCTCGGCGATCGAGTAGAAACTCGTAGCGGCACCGTCTGAGGCTTCCCTCCAGTGTGTGTAAGGATAAGTTGTTTGGAATCAAAATGTATCCGCGCACCCACAACCATCGCCTAAGGCAAACCCAATAGTACTGAGTATGACTGCACATCGATGACTAACACGTTAATGAGGACATGTACTTGTCCTACCTTGACGGCTACATTTTCGTTAATTCCTACTATATTCATGGTTTCTTCATCGGCAGAGACGTAGTTGTCTTTCCCGGGCAAGGGAAGGATCGAATTCAATCGTCCAATTTTTTGGATGGTTTCCGAGGACATCGCTACAACAGATGATCCGGTATCAATGAGAGTATTGAACGGTTTACCCCATACTTCACAATCGCATTTTGCACTCTTCCATAAAACAGATCGGACACGGACAAAGCGATCCTTCTCTGCATACGAAATGGTAACGACCCGAGCAGTTTCAGGTACGTCGGACACGTTCACGGTGAGTATCGGTTCCGATGGAGGAGAGTCTACTTCTTCTTCGTCGTCCTTCTTTTTCTTCAGCATCCTCTGAACACGTTGGTACATTTATCGTTTTTGATTTTTCTAGCACTACTGAAGAAGTTTGTCATTCGCTGCCTTCGATATGGTCAGCAAATGGCCCACCGGGACAGGGACTCAAATATCCAATTGTTTGACTATCTGTAGAACGTCAATTTCTCTTATTTGAAACTGAGGACCGGGTTCTGATCCCCGTTGAACCCATTCGAACTCGTCTTTGCCAAGTCGGATTGCTCCGATCAGTCCTGCTAATTGGAGGTATTATGTCGGATCAACGACATCGGCCGCTTCGGAAGATGATCCCGAAGTGCATATTCACCGTGCTATGCATGCTGTACTTGATCGTTAAAAAAATCATGGTATGCATTTTCGTGTTTTAGCTAAAGCTCTTCGTCTTTCTGGTGGTGATCATGTGCATTCTGGTACTGTGGTAGGCAAATTGGAAGGCGAACGTGAGTTACTTTAGGTTTTGTGGATTTACTTCGTGCACGATGGGTTCGAGCAAAGAAGACGACTCTGTAGAGAAAGAGCTAGACTCCCTTTCTCTTGTTGTCTCCAACAGCGTGGCTACCCGTCCTTGGTTCAGGGCGATGGGCGCGACTGCAGGTGGAGGTTGATTTCGCTTCAGCAGAGGGCAATCCCGCGCAAAGTGTCCGGGTTGCTTAAAATTGTAGCATTCAATCCTGGCCGCTGGGTTGGCCACATGATGTGGGGCAGGGGGAGCTTGTCCGGGAGCTGGAGGAGTAGTTAGTAGGGGATACGAAGGAGGAGCGGGACCCGAGAACTCGAGTTAGTACTCATGAGCTTTATCAAGATTTGCTCTAATCGGTCCATCTGAGAAGTCTGCATTTGGATCATATTGTTCATCCACTCGGATTGTCTGGTCGTGGCGATATGAATCATCTGCGCCAAATGCAGATTGATGATGGGTACAGGTGCAACAGTTTGGGGAATGACATTATTTATAGGTACCATTTTTGGAGGAGGAGGGGGAGGAGCACAAGAGAGGAGGTGAGGGGATAGGTCCTGGGAGGGTCCATCCTAATGATCGTGATCGGGGCGAGGGTAAAATCGCCCCACCACTCTGAGCCACGAACGCCTTTTGGCAGCCACATCCTGTATCGTGTCCGAGATGTCTTCATCCACCTGACTGATGTATTTGCGGGTATCCAGTAAATCCTGTTCGAGTGCTTTAGCAATAATGGCAGGTAGCTAGTTCGTCTTTGGTGGAACCTTTTTTCTGTAGTTTCGCCTTTAGCACCAGGTTGTGGAGATGATCGATGAACAAGTCTCGAGCAGCGTTTTCTTCCCGTCCTGATTTATCTAGCGTGGTTTGAAACCGATCCACAAAGTCGGGTAGCAACTCTCCAGGTTCCTGGGGACGGGTTTTTAACACAAACCAGGCAGCATCCTCACTGACTTCGTCAAATGTTGCTAGGAGCGCTCTCTTAAAGGTATCCCAATCTACCCACCTGTGCCTTCTGAACCAATCATGAGCGGTGTTCTTGAGGAGTAGGGTGATGACGTGAGGAAGATCCTCATCGCCATATCCCTAAGCTTGTACGAGTTCGAGCCAGCCTCGGGATGAGAATGATTGGGGTAAAACGAGAAAGTGGCGGGGATACTCACCATCACTCGGGGAGCCGCTCCATTGCCGTCAACCATGGACATCTCCGGTCGAGTCTCTGCTGACCTTTGTCGAGTGACGTGAGGACTCAGCCGATTAGACCGGTTGGCTGATCTTCCTCTAGCCAGCTCATCTTACGAATGTCAGAACCGACACTTGTCGGCTCCGATACCAACCTCACGCCCTGTGCTGCTTTCCGGTCGGAGTGTTTTGGTTCGCGGGAAGGCCCAGGAAGAACAACATAGATGAGGTGTGCCAATGATTTTTGGGAAAATTAAGCGTGGGGACACAGGCAGAATTGAGATCCCCCGTGTTGGTCCGACTTTGTAAGAAGGGATCCGTCGCCGCGCGGGTTGAAGAAAAAGGCGCGCGCAGGGCTCACGGCGATGGGAAATTTAATCCAAAAAGTAGCGTTGTACTTCCCAACGGGCCGTTGCCCTTCGTTTCAAATGAAAGGGGGAGGGTACATATGTAGTATCCCGTTTTCGAACGAGGTCCCATCGGCGTTCACTACACAACTCTAAGTCCGACGTGGAGGGTCTCAATCGAGTGGCTCTCTCCTTGTGTTCGTCCTCGCCACATGTGCGGTAATGGAAACCCTTGGCTCTGTAACGCTCAGTGCGGCGACAGTCGCTGCACAGAGTACTAGGCCAATGAGGCACCACTGCCGACCACGGGATGGCGATCAACTCATTAAACGACAACAACAACGAATAAGGCGGAACGTACGTATCGATGATGACGAATCCCACACCGACGAATCCGGAGCACCGGGTCTCGGGTGGGAAGTAATAACGCCCGCCGACCTTGGCGACGACTTCTCGTACGTCCCACTCGCATACACGTGTCCTCTCCTCGTTGTATGGGAAGGAGCGCGGCGGGGCACGGGAAGTCCGCGCCCAGTCGGATTGGTGTTGTCAGTCCACATGGCAACAAAGGACAAACCGTACGATTAATCATGCATCATTCATTCAACACACTACTCAATCCCATTCCACGTTCATCTGATAAATCAATCAACATCCCTGTCATGCCGACACAAGTTCTCAGACACAATCCACTTCATGCACATATCAAGTGGGAGGAAAGAAATCAGCATTACCCACCTATTATAGTAGGAACATAGCAGAAGGAAGGTGCGGGGGAGAGGAGGCGTAGATCAAAGGAGGGAAGAAAGCAGAAGATAATTACACAAGAAAGTCCGACGATCTTAACGAGAAATTTCAGCTCAAATGTCGGGTGAACGGAACTCACGTTCGAAGACTTATACTTTGAGACAAAAGAGGCGCATCCGCCATAAAATTCCACCATTG